CTCTGACTAAACCATGGATTTCTCTTTGCTGTATTGTTTACATTTTGCGCCTATAGAGAGACCATGGATGGCTTGCGCTGAACCACCCACAGCTCCAACCACATACCCCATATCCAGTGTAAACCCAAAGGGATAAGACCGGGAGGCATGTGGATGGGAGCCATGTTTCATCAACGGAGCCGGCCCACACTCCTTCACAGGCAAACACAAGCACACTGTATTCGGGGAAATCAAGCGCACACAAGGCGGTGGCTGGACCGTAGTCCGCTCCACACTGAGTGCATGGAACCACTCTTCGAGCCAAGTACGGACACAAGGACCGTGCACCCCGTCCCCTCCAGCAACGACCAACTGTCTCCTGGAGCTAGTATGGACGAGGTAGTGGGTAATAGACAGGTGGGCACCTTAACATCATGCACATCAAGCACAACCACATCGATGATATCTAGCAACAGGCAACTTCATGACATGTCTGTTACCCGCGATTCTTCTCGTGCTACGACTTTCCCGGTAAGCGACGCACTTTGCGCTAGCCCAGTGGCCAGAATGACAAGTGAGCTAACTGAGTCCCTCAATCCCCGTGCGCCATTATTCATTAGGTGCTGGAATCTCAAAACCCTGTTGGATGTCGGCAGCCAATCGTTTACCATTCGCACACTATATGACTACCAGATCGACATAGCATGCCTGTCAGAATCTCAAATACCCGGCTATCTCCCGACAATTTAATGTCTCTGGTGTATACACCTCATACTGGCTTTACCACAGTGGGTCGGAGGATAATTTTGGCAATAATGCGGTTACCATGACTCTCAGTTGCCAGGAACACGGCGCTTTCCTTTCATGGAAGCCAGTATGAGCTAAAATAGCAGTTGCTCGCTTCAAAGGTCACGCGATGAATCTGACCATAATCTCTGTCGACGCACCAACCCTACCCTCTGCGTAAAGGTACCCAGACGAATTTTACGATGCTCTACAAACAGTTGTGTACCATCTTCCAAAACGCGACTTCGTTATTACTGGGGACTGGAATGCACGAACCGGGCCCAGGAACGATCAGACCCGTCACATACTTGGAGATATGCTCTTGGAGAGCGCTGGGCTAATGGAGACCGGTTGCTCAGCTTCGTTGACTTTAACCGGTTGTGCATCACTTGTACTCGGTTCCAGCATCCCATGAAACATTTTTTGATGTGGTACTCTAATGATGGTTGTACAGCAAGCCAGATTACATCCTACTCCAATCCCAGTGGATGTCATGCATCGACGCAATGACTGTCTCCTATCCACTGATCTCCATGGCTTTGTTGACTCTATGTCTAGTTTCTAGACTGTTGAGATTGCATCGACGACTGTCGAGTGTACAGAGGGATTAAAACGGACAATATAGGTGGTTCGGACCACGTACTCCTGTGCGCCAAACAGACTCCGCTTGACAACGCGCCGGAAGACCCTTCCATTGAGGCGTATCAACACTACTCCACTGGAAAATACTGACTGGTGCCGATCCCTTGAGGCAGTAATAGAAGCAGTACTTTCTGCCCGTGCACCACGCCTCGTACTTGCAGCAGATGAATCTGTCGAGGCTCGCTAGTTTAGGCTAACATTTTCAGTTCAACGTGCTGCTTTTTCTACCCTGGTCTCTACCTTTAAGGACTAGATCACATAAGATACTATTCGCTTGTCCGCTAAAGCGAGAGAAGCACGTCTCACGACTTCCCCAGACTACCGTCGCTTGAGACATGAGGCAACCCACTCAACACGGAATGATCGCAACCGCAACTGGTCTCTTGTCGCATACAACATGAAAGTTGCTACAAATTCTGACAATTTAGATCATCTTTTTCGTCTCGTCCGTTTAACTTCCGGCAAGCGCTATTCACCACAGCCGATATTGCGTACTTCGGATGGTCAAATCATCCCCGATACGGAAGGAAAACTTTTCAGATGGGTAGCATATTTTGGTAACCTCCTATACCGCCCACTACACACCACCGCACCCATTTCAGCATTAACCCCGTCAGGATATAACGTGGATTGCTCACCACCATCTCCCACAGAAATTGCGGCCATCATTCGTCGTGTGAAGCCGAAGAAAGCACCTGGAGCGGACGGGATTCCAGCGGCAATCTACAAATCTTGTCTGCCAGCTCTCCTTAACCATTCGCACGAACTCTTCTGCTTGCTATAGGAGAGGGACATCTGTCCTTCCTCGTGTAGCAACTCAGTACTACTGCCATTTCCAAAGATAGGTGACTGAACTGTGTGCAGTACTTATCACGGGATTAGCCCAATCGATGTGGCTGCCAAAACCGCACGAATTTTGCTTTCCTCGCTTTACCAATGAGGGGAACCTGCGAACTCGCCATTACCAAGGGGGGCTTTCGTCCAGGCAGAGGCTGCACTGACCAAATCTTCACTCTACCTCGGGTACTCGAACACCCCCTACCAGTCCCATCAGCCCACGTTTGTGTGCTTCGTTAATTTTCGAGCTTCCTTTGACTCGGTTGACCGTGAAGCAATCTGGAGAATTCTACTTGCCGATGGTGTGCCGTTTAATTTCGTTAACTTGAGATCATACTACAATTGCACGAAGGCCCGGATTCGGGTCTATGGCAAAGAAACAGAGGAATTAGACATCAACACTGAAGTCTTGCTGGGCTGCTCACTGTCTTCAGTGCAGTTACACTTCGCAGTCAACTGGGTTATGCATCATGCCCTTGAGGGCTATCGTTGTGTTCAACTTAGCTCCGACTTCTGGCTGTCAGACCTGGGATTTTCAGACGATATCGCTATCCTTGCACAAGATTCAATGTCATTACAGACACTGATAATCGGATCTAGTGCTCTCTGCGTCTCATCCAGTGTCGGCGCGTCTGCCAGACTCGCCTTCACACCGCGCTGTTTCAGGCCATTCCAAGTAGGCCAGTCGATCTCTGAACGGTTGTTTAAGAGACAGTCAAACTCTTTCCGCCAGAGCTGTGTTATGAATGCAACCTGTGTGCAGGTAGCGCCTGAGCTACCATCGATCAGGTCCTCAGCCTGATAGCCAACCCACAAGTCAGCGGGGCGAATTCAGGGAATCGCGCCCATTGGGAGCCGGTGACCGATTTGGTAAGTCACCAAAACAGAGGCCCAATCCTCCCTATACTTTCAGTACAAGACTGATGTAATACAATGCTCCACTGGGGTGAAGCGAGGGGTGGTGACTTTATTGAGTGTAGAGTCGCATCCGCTACGTCGCAGTGTTGTTTGACTGACATATGTGACTTTTTATAGGGAGAACGCTTGCTAAGCGAAAACCCACCACGTCCTGGAACACTGCCCCGAACGATTTTCTGTAAGGGGGTAAACCCGAACCACCCAGCTGACATCACGCGGAGGTTGTTTGGCTAGCGCAGATGGGGTCGTTCACATCAAAACATATCAGATCTTATCTAATTCTGCATAGTCGTCGACTTAGTGACATCACCATTTGTAACCTTTTGCATCTCGGTGTTTATTCAGATCACCTACTTTTTAAACAAACTCCTTGTTCTAGTATATCTTTTACCTCCATTCCCTGCTTCTGTAAAACAGAATCGTGGTAGATGAATCTCATAGATGCTTGGCTGAACCGCACTGCGTCACTATGATTTGATAGGATCATCGTGCTGTCAGTGCTTAAGTACGTTGTTTGATGGAAATTGGGTGTTGCTCCTCCGGAAACACTGCACTCCACCGCTCGTTTTAACCGCATTCAATATTCTCAGATAGGGATAGCAAGCATCGCACCCGGAACTGTTGGGATGTTAACCGAATCCTCTACCCCTTTAGCTACTGGGCCACTTGGCACAGCGGTTAATGACCTGATGGCTGAAAGGATGGAGAGTTCGGGTAGCAACACGATCGCCCCAGGTTCGATGCGTGCTATCCCTACCTGATGAGAACGAATAAGGTCGAAACGCGTCTTGGGTTGTAGTGTTTTCAGTTGGGCAATACCCGTTTGCCATCCGTTTCAGCTACGGTCCCAGTTATCGAATTGACCAAGATTTACATGAGTGCGAATCACGGTCCACATTGAAATGGTGCGTAGCTGTACAATCACACGAAGTGTACTTCAAAATGTCCTACCAATTAGTGTTGAGCGTTGTCCGTCGTGACCTGGTGGCTAAAGGAGTAGAGGTTCCAACCAACATTCAAATGATCTCGGGTTTGGGGCCTGAAATTTCTACCTAGTGTGATCAACTATGGTCGAAGCGCGTCGTGTAGCGCTGTGTTTCCAGACAGGTAATACGTTGCTTGATATTCGACAGTGATCCTGACGTCTCACTGGATCGATCATCTATCCGTTTTCCACCGTCTCTCTTAACTGACTCACGTTCTGCCTACCGTCTACTTCTGTACGTACTGCTTTCCAACACTGTACCTCAGCTTGCTCAGCCGGTAGCATGACGAGATCATATGGAAAAATTGGCCGGAAACTTGGTCGAGCCGGTGTGTGCTTTTTTCCCTAATGAGTCCCTTGAGATTGGCCACATCATTGTGTTCAACTAGTGCTCTTATCCTCCACCGTCTGCTAATTATTGTTTTCTTCATTCGATAACACTTACCACTTATTGCTATAATTTGCATATTCTTTCCACTTTTCTTCCTCATGATTTCCACCATTGTTTTCATGGCAGTACGAGTCGTGTTAAGTTGAGCTACTACGCATCGTTGAGACCATTGTTGGGTAACTTGTCTTTACTTAATCAGTGATGTTCTTACATTCGATTCGTTGCTCTCATCCGTCAGCATGTCTTTTTGGAGCTCACGGCATTTTCTTCCTTCTTTCCTTTTCTCCGCCTATTGTACTTGTTAGCATTATGACATCGTGGGCCGCGTTACCTAGCTCACTCACACCTTGGTTCTTTGATTTACTTGGACTATGTGAACCTGAACAACTTAACTTCAATTTATTAGTTGGAACAGTTCTTTTTCACTTTTGTTAGTATATACTCCCTTCCGTTGTTCTCCAGCTGTATGTGATCGGTACTCCTGGCAAACGCGGACACCAAGTCAGTTTGATGGTTCGTGGTTGGCTGACGGACGGATCGAACTCCGAAAACAAAGGGCCTATTGGCCGGATAGCAATTACTGGAGGACTATTCACTGATGAAGCTGATGCCTGTAGCGTCAGTTTCTTCGATACTGTGGAGGACAGCTATAGAGAAATCATCGGCGACAAAGAGAGTTTCATCAACTGTTGGCGCCGAAGTCGTCAGTATGTGTTGGACCGCGCAGACTGGATCATCCCTGCCTATGGAAAGGCATTCAAAGTATGCATACTATTCTGTTTTTTTAGTTACCATCCCCGAGGTATTTCGTTTGCAACTAGTCACTCCGTTCTCCTGGCTGCATCCGGTGGCACACTGCGGCTTGTTTGTCTTTTTTTTGACCCATCATCTTCGGTAGTCTACTGGTGACTATCTCCGCCTGTCACGTGGAAGACCCTAGTTCGATTTCCGGCCGAGGAGCTCTTTTCGGGCCCTTGGTCAAAAAGAAATGCGTCCGCCTTTCGGAACGCGGAGGTTGTGGATTGGAGCCTGCGTAGGGGACCGGGCGACCATCGCAGTATTTTTAGCCGACACGCGACTGGTGGTGGTTGCGTGACAGCGAAACATCGGTACTGCGTACTAGCGTACTACGGATGCCTCTTTTTGTTTGTTTAAAGATTTGCAGGCATGATTCACCATTGGTAGATTAAAGTGTTTGTTATTTCGGCGTTTACCACAACCGATTGTAACTCGGAGGCTATAAAGACGAGTTCAATCGGAACTCTTAGGGGACAAAACCACACTTTACCGAGCACAAAATGTGTATCAGCGGCGCAACTCTCAATCACATCCACATTGTATCACCAAATGTCTTTTGGCTAGGCACTGTCACGAGTGTAGATTGGTCACATTACGACCATTTGTGGATGTCAGTGAGAGATATCCGTTTTATCAAAGTCAACTAGTTAACTTCCTACCCTGTTCACAGTGTTCACGTACGTAGCGTTCGGTCTCGCAGTATCTACATTTCTACCACCAGCAGGTCTTCTTTTTTATGCTACGGCCGATGTTTCACGTGCGCACACCAAGCAACACACGCGGGTAAAGACACAGGCTTACAGTGCATGATTTGCAGCCGGTTGCTCGAGAATCGATTTGGGAAACATTGGAACACATCGACGCAAAATCGGTGTCAGAGTTCAAAAATTTTCTAGGCGCCCATATTGCCAATTCTAGGTGTAGAGCACTTGTCACACTTGACTGGGACCTTGTATGCTTGCACTATGTTGAAAAAAAACGCTGACAGTAACAACAGTGTATTTTGTGTGTACTTGACAAAACGTCCGTAGGACTACACAGGCTTATGTCTCCCTCCATTTTTAATTCAATAGTCGTCCTCTAATCCCAACTTACCTTTCAGAAATTTTTAAGTGACTCGGCCACTAATGAACAGTGTGAATGTGCGGATTCCAATTTACCTTGGAGCTTGAGTCGCCTGGAATTTGAATAAGATTTGGTGGCATTCAGTAGTTTGCTCGAAACGTTGGCGTTGGTTTTGTTGAGCTCGGCTTTATTGTTCTAACATCATGGGACAATGAGTGCTCAAGGACCTTGTAATTGATCGCGCTTGTTGGTAAGCGGTCAGGTTTCGTGAGATAAAAGCCTGTGCTGCTGTAATTAGCCGAATTCTTTTCCGGCTCCGAGTCACGAGTCCAGAGAAGGTAGTCTATAGTGAATTAATAACTAGTGAAACTAGGCGGTAGCTAGATTCTGCGACGCGTCGATTGGATTGTTGGGCGGTGCATGTTGTACATGCTATGCAAGTTGATCCTGGAAATCTCATCATGGGGAAGATGCACCGTGAATTCACTCTGTTGAAACAGAACACACCACCTGGATCCGGCAGCTTTCTGACATCGTTACTAAGCGACATTTTGTTGATCTTTCGGTTCTTCTTAGCATTATAGTGAGGGCTGATGACGTATTTTCAGGCCAGTGATTATCAATCATAACTCAAGTGATTAACAATAGTTATAGGGTAGTATACGCGAAGCATCAAAGAAGCCATTTGGTCATTTGAAGTACTCGTTGTGTGATTGGATTCAGACGCTCAATCCCAATGTGGACCGTATTTCGTATCGAAGCTGACCTTGGCCAATTTGATCACTAGAACCATAATCGAAACTCATGCAAATTAGGGTTTGCAATGTTTTCGGTCGAGCAACCCCTAATTTCCATGTGCGCCAAAAAAGCTACTTCGCCCAACATGTTTCCAAACTGCTGATAACATACGGCTGCGACTCCCTTGTGCTCGAGAAACTGGAGTACGTACCGACCAGATAGCTTTCGGCTCTAGTACATCATTTTTGGGTGCTGAGTGGCGACGTACGTATAGACAATCCACCATGGTTGTCTTCCTTCCCCTAACTGCCTCTTTTGTCTCGGTTGACCGCTTTTACTTGTGGCTCCTTCTACACTTGCGGAACCTGCCAGGGTTTGTGGAAAGATTGTGGAAGGATCTGCGAGATATTGTCACACAATTTCGTCATGCTTAGTAGATTACTCATAGCCTTCTCTCACATTCGCTTCGACTTTGTTGTAGGGATGTGAATAAACGACCGCGCCATCTGCTTCTTCTGCGGTGATAAGGTTTCCTGGCGGCTCTTGTGAACATTATGCACGCGAGCTGTTACGGCAACTGTTACGGGGACCAACTGACGACCCCATCCACCAAACGAGCACACGATCTGTGCGGTAAAATAGGAGGACAATAGGCTGAATAACTTGTGCTGCATAGACCGTGATTCCACAAGCATTTGTACAGAAAGGTACAGAGTTGACTTACAAGTAGGGGAAATGGCTCGCAAACCGATATAAAATAAATAGAGTTAAAGTCGAACAGCTGCAGTAATGAAGGCTATGTGAACGTAGCGCAGTAAAACAAAGTACCGGGAATACTTAGGATCAGGTTGTTGTTAAAAGAAGAGGCGTTATCTAAAAAATAAATAATCAAATGAGTGAGCGTGTATGTCAATCGATTCGTTCCGATAATTATCAGGATTGTGATCCAACGTATGTTAAGTGAAAGTTATCATGGGATGAAGGAATGCGCGACGTGGTAAAAATGCAAAGCAGAATTGAGCTACTCCTTGTCAGTATAGCCGTTCAGTTTCGTGAATTTTAATTCACACGAACTATGTCTCTTCTTCGGTTGGACGTGCGTCTTTGGAGTCACGTTTGGAGGGCTTGACACAGGAGAACATATGCCTAAAATTTAGTCCGTTGGCTTTTAGAAGTTACACCCCTCTTTGGGGAGTATTGCATATCTGCTCATCAGTCACGAATCAAACGTACCCAGCTGCAGTTCAGCCGGTGTTTCTGTTTGATCACTAACCTTGACATTGCACATTTCGTACATACCGCTCCTGGTTCCGTGCTTTTGGAGTATTGCCCACATTTTTTGGTAGTGGTGAGTGAGCTACACTGATGTTCACCACCTGGCGCCCAGCAATAACTTTACTGATACTTCACTAGAATGTATTTTATTAGCTAAGCTTATTCTGACTAGTTACTACCCTTCGTATGTCCGTCGGTCTCTTCCGCATGGGCTTTATGTCATTTTTCGCCTGGCTAGCTGAGGTTGCGTGATGACCGGCGAGTGCCGTGTCGAAAAAGCATTCTGTAACACAATTGTTACACCGGTCGGCTTGTAAAAAGTAGTTGTTCCAATACCAATCACACAGTTGCTTGTGGAAGGTTTGCGCACTTACTGTACAGGTTACTTTTTTCGTTTCTGTACGCACTTGAGTTGAACTGAATGCAATTATGTTTTTTCACACATCTTACAATATTCGGATCGGTTCAGTGGCGCCAAGTCGCTTCGGTTTTCAGACAATGTAACTACTTCGGTTTAGGCTGGTGCTGGCCCTGTCATCTATGGCAGACACGAAGACATCTCCTGAAAGGAGAGTCCAGAGGACAACAAATCTCCGTTCAGAAATCTTCACTCTGTATTGGAACGACGTAATTTTGTAAGCTGTTGTCATCGGTTACACACTGGACTCTTCCCATGCCTCATGTTCCTTTCCACCGTCACTGGGATGATTCTTTTTCTTGATCCAAACAAACACAGTGTGAAAGGAACGGTTCCTCACTTGTATCAACATTCAATAATGATCATCCTTACCGTTGACATATCTACGGGCCTGATAGCCATTACCCAAACAAATCAGCTTAAGTTCGGATCACGTCCAATGTGAGGTTCGAGTACAATCTTCTTGGATCAAATACCGTCCAACGTGTTAACTATCACGTTTATTCGTGCCTTCTCTGGAAAGTATTGTGCATATGTTTACCCATCAATCGGTTGTGCTCCACTCAATGACAGATGCGAAGTTAAGCGCCTGGCTGGATACTTCCAATTTGGACCGCATGAATGGTATTGCATGGATTTGTATTGTCAACTGCACCTTGGATGTATTCAACGCATTGATCCGATTGTTATTCATCGTCGAAGCAACACACCATTGGCAATGCAATCCGAATCAGGCTGCCATCAAACCCGGTCGATCGGCCATCGTCTTTCTGCTTACCACGAACTTGGCCTTGTAGGTAACCAATACGTCTAACATACGCCAAGTGAAAACTCGTTCGGCCTTACATTGACAGTACTATGGCATTCGCTTCTGTGTCCTCCAGACGGAGTCAAGCAGACATTTAGTCCTACTCCCAGAATCGTAACGCATGACTAGTTGGGCTGAGACTCCTGCTCCGATCAATACCTGCATTTCCCTTGCGTTGCGGTCTATGGGTTAGCAGAATCAGTATTGTGAAATCGACATAATGTGGCTGTTCAGTCCTCGGCTCCTCTTCTTTCGCTCTCCTGCACCTAAGTGTTTATTCTCCAGTCCGATTATTACTGTTTGCCCTCTTACTTAACGACGCTTCTGCCTTATTTATTCTCATTTTCCTTTTGATTTCACTAACTGTTGCTTTGGCAATGCATGTACTGCACTTAAGTTCTGCTCAGTTTATCAACCGTGCACCGAACTGCTGGATTCCAACCCATGACCTTACTGGTCGGCGACTTATGCTCTGTAAAATTCGTTAAGCGCTGGCATTGAGCTCTTCACAGGTAGTCCGGTGGTTGATTTGGATTACTCTGATGATAGCAGCTTGCTGGGTGAGGATCCACAGGCCGTCCAACTATCACTCAACCGTTTAGCGACTGGAGCGTCAATGTATGGGATGGCTTTTTCCCCATCCAAGTGCAAAGCTCTTTT